GAATAGATGGTCTAGAGTAAACCAATAATAGTCTCAAAAGTGAAACAAAATTATTTGCATATCCCACGGTAATGGACACTGCCTTAACGCTGCAACAGGAATAGTAAGTAAATACAAGGCATAACTGAAAGCTGAACAAAGTAATAAAATAATTTAGGGAACTTAAATAAATGATAACATGGCGTAGCTCACCCAAACCGACAGACCGCTCTACGGCATGCGCCTACCCTGGAGGAGTAGAACAGAACAGTGAGAACGGGAGGGGAATAATATATTCTAATAATAGAATAAGACCGTAATATAATGTACTTGCATATAAGCTGAACAAATAAAGAAACTTCGCTTCGTGAATCTTGGACCTGGTCGGGAGAGGGAGTGAGAGCGGGACCTGACTTCCCGCGCCTTTTATGCCACCCAGGCTGGCCGCACCACGCCTGCGGGACGCGATGCGCAATTGTCTCTTCCTTCCCCCGTCAGAAACTCCACCGCCTTTCGTCAAAAGGCAGTGGGCCATATTGTGGGAACCGACCTGTGAGATTTATATTTATTTAATTTATATGAATTTATATTTACGTTAATTTATATACTTCGATAGCAATTTGTATAATGATAAGTGGACTGTATTTCTGCAATAATCTCATAATCTCACAAATCGATCCTCTACACATTAGGGGGGGGGTTATTAAATTAATATATATATGCAGCCAATCAAACTACAAAATTAACTACATACATTGAAGAGGTTCCTTATCTTATAGTACAGCAGGTTAGTCCACCAGGTATAACTAGGGTGTAGACACCAAATTATCCTCTTTGAGGTAGCTTCCATATCACCCAGTAACTGGTGCACAAATCTTCCTTCCTCGTCTTGACCTTTAGTTTGAGGCTTCCACGTAATCTAACCGGGTCACCCTATATCCTGACATTAATGGCCATAAATGAATGATAAACGGGTTTCGGATAGACACTTAACTTGAATTTGTAGACAGCGTGTTGACAAATGGTACACCTTTGGTTTCCATAACACTACGTCCAAGTAAATTTAACAGGAGCCGAATTTGCTCCCGTGTGAGCCTCTGGTCTCAATATAAACAATGGCTGTTTAACACTCCATACTATTGACGTTACTGGCCGACATTGTCCAGAATGATAGGAGCCGAATTTGCTCCACACGTCTCGGAGGTGACACAACAATGGCTCCCCTCCTCCTCCACTCACGCCTGGCTTACATTGTCCAGATTTCCAAAGGTGATAGAAGGGTCACATTTACTCTACTTTAATATTAATAATTAAGTTAATTTATATGAGATGTTTTTATGATGGTAAAGTCCAAAGACTAATGTATTTAAGAATAATTCCCACCATAATAGGTGGTGAATTATAATAGTGTGTGGTGATGATATCCCGTTTTCTTTAGACGGTAATTCCACTACAAGTTACGTTTTCTATGGGTAACTTGTGGGTAATACAGCTATTATCTGTATGATTATTAAATGGTGTCGGATTTTCCGACAAATATAAAAAAGAATGTTGTTGTTGTTAAAGATTCGCTACGTGGAACAAAAAGTTCCAAGCAACACGGGCTATGATAAAAAAGAAGGCACCAAGCCAGGAAGGCTGTGTAGCACCGTCAAAAGTGTGGAATATTCACAGGACGCTAAATATTACTATTTAGATGGGACAAGTGTGGATAGCCTCCTAGAGAGCAGCGTCCGCACGCTCATGTAAAGAAACACCAATATGGCTGCGAACCCAGCACCACTCCAGTCTTAAATCTGCTGGAGCAACCCGTTCTCGCACTTTCGTATAGTCAATATTGACTTATTAAATACGTGCATATGTGACATACTAAACATACTAGTTTACCATGAAAAGCTTCATAGAAAACACCGACCTTACCTAACCACCTTAGTATGTTAAGTTTAGCATCTTATTGCTTCGTAATTATTACTTAACCTATTATAGGTATAGGTTAAGTGATAATTGTAATTACGAAGCAATAAGATGCTTATCTTAACATACTAAGAAGGTTAGGTAAGATCGGTGTTGTCTATGAAGCTTTTCAAGGTAAACTAGTTTGTTTAGTATGTCACATATGCACTTATTAAATAAGTCAATAGTGACTGTAAGAAAGTGCGAGAACGGGTTGGCTGGAGATAAGACACCGCCAATGTTGAATTTCGACGACCACAGGATTAAAGGACTCCAGAGCCATGAGGGCGCTGCGAGAGTCAACTACAACAACAAATGAAGAATTACGGTGAGAAAGCAGTTGACGAAGAGCAAACAGTTGACGAAGAGCAAGCGAGACATATTGGTGTGGTCAGGAAACACGACAGAGTAGCCCACACCGTCTGCAGACTTAGACCCATCGGTGAAGATGGAGATAGAGCGGGAGTGTGAAGAAAAGTAAGCATGGAAAAGGCATTTCAGAACAGTAGGAGGGGCAAAAGCCTTAGTCATGCAGGTCAAGGTTCAACAAAACTTAGGAAGAGGGACCCTCCATGAGAGCAAGGACGGGATGACACGAAGAGCAACATTGGCAACAGGAACCGAGAGAGAAGCTTCCAAGCGAGACAATCGTACAGAAAGGGGAAGGTGGTGAAAGGGAATAGGGCCCACCAGACGGGTAATGGTAAAAGCACGACATAAGCGAGAGTGAGGGTGTTGAAGGGACCGCGACAAGCAGCGATCACGGCGGTCCTGTAGAGACAGGACGCCGGCCTCAATATACAGGCTCTGACATAAGCAAGAGTGAGGGTGTTGAAGGGACCTCGACAAGTAGCGATCACGGCGGTCCTGTAGAGACAGGACGCCGGCCTCAATATACAGGCTCTGGATGGGGGCGAACGAAAGGCACCAGAGCTAAGACGGAGCCCAGGATGGTGAAGAGCATCAAGACGAGGAAGGGTGGAGGGAGAGGCAGACGAGTAAGCAGGACAGCTATAATCGAGATTAGACAGCACAACAGTGAAATGTAAAGAGGGGAGTGTGTGTGTCTATCAGCTCCACAGGAAGTATGGGACAAGACCTTTAGTAAGTTAAGCATTCAACCTCCGGGTTAAGCTTTCAACCCGGAGGTAGGAGATATGGGGTGACCAGGACAAGCGAGTGTCAAAGATCAACTCCAGAAGTTTAGCAGAATCCTTATACAAAAGAGGATTACCATAAAGTGACAGAAGAGGTCGAAGGACGACCTGCTTCCGAATAAAGGTCATATCACAAGTCTTAGCGAGTGAGAACTTGAAAACATGATTGGTAGCCAGGACGACACGGCATCAATCGCAAGTTGAAGCCGCCGTTGGAGGAGAGGCGAGTCATCATCTTGACAGCAGAGGGTAAGATCGTCGACATAAAGAGCGGAGAAAATGTCAAAGGGAAGAAAGGAAAGAAGACCATTGAGGGCAACCAGGAGAGAGTAGTGCTCAGAACACTGCCTTGGGGTACACCTTTGTATTGCCTTAAAGAGGCAGAGAGAGCGATACCTGCCTCACTCTACAGAAACGACAAGAGAGGAAGCTCTGGAGGAAGAGAGGAAGATTACCACAAAGGCCAAAAGAACGAAGTTGGGACAGAATATGGTATCTCTAGGTGGCGTCTTAAACCTTTTCCAGGTCAAAAAGGACGGCAACAACGGAGGTCTTCGCATCAAAGGCAGTACGAATATAGACCACCAAGTTCACCAGGACATCAGTCGTGCTGTGACACTTGCGAAAGTTAAATTGAGAAGGAGAGAGGAGGTGATAGTGTTCTAAGAACCACATCAGACGGATATTGATCATACACTCAAAGAGTTTGTAAACACAACTCGTGAGAGCAATGGGGCGGAAGTCTTTAGGGGATGACCGTAGAGAACCAGGTTTCCGAATAAGAAGAACAATCGCCTCAAGCCGATTGACGACGACGACTCCCAGACACGGTTATAAACACTCTGTAAATACTAAAGCGTGCATGGAGGAAGATGGCCAAGTATCTCGTAATGAATCTCATAGCGTTTGCCCAAAACGCTGTGCGTACTAGTGGCTTTAGGTATTGTATGTACTAGCTCTATCTATAAATCCAACATTATGTTTGTAACTAATCTTCTATGTATATACTTTTACCTGAATAAACATTTGATTTGTACAATGTGTACACCCACGTCAAGGTTCCCACAACCCTCTACCTGGCGCCAAACTTCTGTGCTCACCTAATTGTGCTACGTAGGAGTGGTTCAGCTTTGGCTCTTTGGTCCCGCCTCTCAACTGATGTACAATGTTCCTGAGCCTACTGGGCTCTATCATATCTATATTTGAAACTGTATAGAGTCTGCCTTAACCATATCACTGCCTAATGCATTCCAATTGTTAATTACCCTGAAAAAATCTTTCTAGTGTCTCTGTGACTGATTTGGGTGCTCAGTTTCCACCTGTGTCCCCTTGTTCGAGTACCATCCATGCTAAATTGTCTGTCCTTATCTACTCAATTAATACCTCTGAGAATTTTGTATGTGTGGCAATCATGTCTTTCCTAACTCTTGTCCACCAGCGATGTGAGGCTCAGTTCACATAGCCGTTCCTCGTAACTCATACCTCATTGTTCTGGTGCTAGTCTGGTGAAATACCGTCGACCTTTCTCCAACTTCCTGAGCACTACTTCTAATGCTCACTGCAGTTTGTAAAAAAAAATCATTTGCTTCTTCATTTGGCAGAACTGATAATCTTAATTTATTATAAAGATGCGGCACTGGATGGCAAGAGCCGCCCTGGGCACTGGGTATGCGTGCCATAGTTTCCCCAGCCCTGACCATGGGTAAGCTTCCCCACCCCTGGCCTTGGGTAAGCTTCCCCAGCCCTGACCTTGGGTAAGCTTCCCCACCCCTGGCCTTGGGTAAGCTTCTCCACCCCTGGCCTTGGGTAACATCAATATGCCTAAGTACCGCAGGCTTTCTGTCCCCCAAGAAGGGGAATTATTTCACGAGTACTAATTAATGCATTAAGGAGGTAGAGTACACAAAGTCATCTCCATAAATATATAATAATATTTCCTGAGCAAAACACAACCCCATTAATAGGTTTTGACTTTTAAGTCTATTGATCACAACAAAACAAACATTAATGTGACTGAAACATTCCACATCAGTAAACTATAAACACTTACAATTAATCACATCAATATAGTGAAGAATAGTTTCTTCTTAACAAAATCACTATTCCTTAAAATATGTTCACTGCTCAAAAAATGATATAGAAGTTCAGGAACCAAAATTGCAACATGAAAGTCTTGAAATCATAAATTTCCATATGAAAGTCTGAAGTCTGAAGTCCACATATATCCAAATACTGTACACATCTACAGACCCCAAATAGGAAAGGAAAATATCAATATTTTATTATGATAACATTAACAATATTTGGTATAAACAATTTGGTAAAATACTGTGAACATAAATACAAATATAAATCCTAAACACAAATCACCTTTAGTGCATATATAGTTTCCTTAGAAAATATATTTTTACACTGCAATTTGCAGCTGTTCCCTACTGCAAAAACATGATCAACATTTCACTGGAAATTGGCTCTCTTGTCTCTTCTCTCTCTTGAAGTGGAACAAACTCTTGGTAGAGGTACACCTTCAATATGCTTCATGTTCCTCAAGATGGCGCACGTTTCCTCCAGGGTGAAGACCTCGGTGGGGACGACGTTCTCGACGAACTCGTCGGTGGTCATAGTGAGGAACCGCACCAGAGGCAGGAAGTCGTTCATCTCCTGACGCAGGTCGCTCGGTGTACAATTAGTCCCCCGCAACTCTAGCTGATGCTGCGCCCTAGCAAATAAAAATTAGATTACATTTTCGACGCAATCAATTATTGCGGTTTTCTCAATTACATTGTACCCACTTCACAGCCCGTCCACTTCAAGACCCCGAGCCAACGCAGAAACAAGATCCAATGACCCTACCTTAGGAACATAAGCAACCCATATTGTTACATTTAATTCCCAATTAATACCCCTTATGTTATGCTATTCATCCACTTGTTCTTTACCACCTCACCCAAAGAGAATATATATATACACAGTATACTAATACCAGTATATTACAACAATTATATTTATAAAGAAAAAGACCCGTACCATGTGATCAGAGAACTGAAGACAGTGACCTCGTTGACAAGGGCATGAGGCTGCTCCAAGAGATGCTTCAGCGCCCACCGGCTCAGTTGGGTGATGTGTTGCTTACAGAACACACTGCTCGAGGACCCCTCCATTATCTGACCTCCCAGTATTATAACGTAAACAAACACTTATACAACTGCATGTCAACAAAGGGTATTATAATGCATATATATATAGAGTACTGTATTACGATGTAAACGTAGAGAATTATAATGCATATAAAGAGTATTATATTGTAAACAGAGCGTATTATAGTGTAAATAAAAACTATTATATTGTAAACATATAAGATAGCAGTTATCCTCTTAACAAAGAGGATTTTATAATCTGAACAAAGCAAACATTATCATATGAACAAAGAGGTTATTATAATCTGAAGCAAATGAATATTATAATTTTAACAAAGATTAATATAATATGAAGAAAGAGATGAACAGAGACATTAGGAGAAAGAAAATGTGCCCAACCATTTCTGTCCTGACTGGGATTCGAGCCTAGGATTCCCGATTGTGAATCAAGAACGAAGCCAACTGTACTACCGAGATCCCATCTCCGACACACCATCAATGCGTATGGAGATCACTAGGACGTTATGTATCTATGAGAAAATATAGAAGCCATACAACGAGATTGAACCAACATCCCTAGATTCACAATGGTTCGATCCCATCATAGAGCCTCAATACACAGGTTCGATCGTATCAGAGCCCACCAATACACAAGTTCGATCCCAACAAAGAGCCTAAATACACAGATTCGATCCCAACAAAGAGCCTAAATACACAGATTCGATCCTATTGTACAACTCAATATGCAGGTTGAGTCCCATCGTACAGGTTCAATATGCAAGATCAATCCCACAACACGGCCTCAATGTGCAGGTTCAATCTTACCATCCAACCTCAGTGAGCAAGTTCAATCCCATTATAGAGCTTCAATATGTATGTTCAATCCTATCATTCAACATCAACATTTTCTCATAGATGCATCACGTTCTTGTGATTTCGCTGAGCAATAATGTTTGTACTTAGACAAAAATATTCCTTAAGCATTGAATAGTTCTCGTGATATCACACATGAACAAAACAGAACCTACACAAGGAACTCCCCCGGCCAGGGGATCTCTAATTACCTGTGAGCACTTGTTGATGAGGTCGGAGATGTTCATCTGTACTGCAGCATTGTATACCATAAGATAGTTGGCATCATTCAAGGCGTTTGACAAGTACTGTAAACATATAACCGACAATTAATTAACATGGAACAGCCTCGCTAAAGTCTAATGTAAATTGGTGTTAAATAATTGTGTTTTCTCCTAGATTCTGTACCAAGTCCTTGTAAGTAAGAAGCTAAAGTTCCAGTATAATAATATTAATAATAATAATAATAATAATAATAATAATATTAATCATAATCATAATAATAATAATAATAATAATAATAATAATAATAATAATAATAATAATGTGAGATGAGGTATGTATTGTATAAAATGTATAAACTGCATACTGTACCTTCATTTTTTAGCTTCTTTACGAGAGCCAGACTCAAGAACATACTCCTGTTAGGCTTCTTTACAATGGGCTCACAAGAACATACTCCTGTTAGGCTTCTTTACAATGGACTCACAAGAACATACTCCTGTTAGGTTTCTTTACAACGGACTCACAAGAACATACTCCTGTTAGGCTTCTTTACAATGGACTCACAAGAACATACTCCTGTTAGGCTTCTTTACAATGGGCTCACAAGAACATACTCCTGTTAGGCTTCTTTACAATGGACTCACAAGAACATACTCCTGTTAGGCTTCTTTACAATGGGCTCACAAGAACATACTCCTGTTAGGCTTCTTTACAATGGACTCACAAGAACATACTCTTGTTAGGCGTCTTTACAATGGACTCACAAGAACATACTCCTGTTAGGCTTCTTTACAATGGACTCACAAGAACATACTCCTGTTAGGCTTCTTTACAATGGACTCACAAGAACATACTCCTGTTAGGCTTCTTTACAATGGACTCTCAAGAACATACTTCTGTTAGGCTTCTTTACAATGGACTCTCAAGAACAAACTGCCACCCAAGAGGTGTGATGTGACACTACCAGACAGATGTTCCCTTACCACCAACACAGTAATTCCGACATACCTCCCATCCCATATACTCAAAACCATGGAGCACATTCTGTCAATAGGCTGGTGACAAAACCATGGTGCACATTCTGTCAATAGGCTGGTGACAAAACCATGGTGCACATTCTGTCAATAGGCTGGTGACAAAACCATGGCGCTCATTCTGTCAATAGGCTGGTGACAAAACCATGGTGCACATTCTGTCAATAGGCTGGTGACAAAACCATGGTGCACATTCTGTCAATAGACTGACGACAAAACCATGGTGCACATTCTGTCAATAGGCTGGTGACAAAACCATGGCGCACATTCTGTCAATAGGCTGGTGACAAAACCATGGTGCACATTCTGTCAATAGGCTGGTGACAAAACCATGGCGCACATTCTGTCAATAGGCTGGTGACAAAACCATGGTGCACATTCTGTCAATAGACTGACGACAAAACCATGGTGCACATTCTGTCAATAGGCTGGTGACAAAACCATGGCGCACATTCTGTCAATAGGCTGGTGACAAAACCATGGCGCTCATTCTGTCAATAGGCTGACGACAAAACTATACTGTCACTTCAACAATTCAAAAACCATGTCAATATGTGGCTAAGAACACACAATAGTATTAGATTAAGACATAAACAATGACATGAAACTAGGAAAACCAAAGATGAAAACTAACTTTAGAATGAGTCATTTCAACATCAAAGTACAGACAAAGCTTTACACAACTACTGATAAGAAGGCATAACGAATATTACATAAGAACACATACACACTGCTGAAGGCCTATTGGTCCATACGGGGCAGCTCCTATTGGTCCATACGAGGCAGCTCTTATTGGTCCATAAGAGGCAGCTCCTATTGGTCCATAAGAGGCAGCTCCTATTGGTCCATAAGAGGCAGCTCCTATTGGTCCATAAGAGGCAGCTCTTATTGGTCCATAAGAGGCAGCTCCTATTGGTCCATAAGAGGCAGCTCCTATTGGTCCATAAGAGGCAGCTCCTATTGGTCCATAAGAGGCAGCTCCTATTGGTCCATAAGAGGCAGCTCCTATTGGTCCATACGAGGCAGCTCCTATTGGTCCAAAAGGGGCAGCTCCTATTGGTCCATAAGAGGCAGCTCCTATTGGTCCATACGAGGCAGCTCCTATTGGTCCATAAGAGGCAGCTCCTATTGGTCCATAAGAGGCAGCTCCTATTGGTCCATACGAGGCAGCTCCTATTGGTCCAAAAGGGGCAGCTCCTATTGGTCCAAAAGAGGCAGCTCCTATTGGTCCATACAAGGCAGTTCCTATTGGTCCATAAGCAGTTCCTATTGGTCCATAAGAGGCAGCTCCCATTGGTCCATAAGCAGCTCCTATTGGTCCATAAGGAGCTCCTATTGGTCCATAAGAGGCAGCTCCTATTGGTCCATAAGGAGCTCCTATTGGTCCATAAGAGGCAGCTCCTATTGGTCCATAAGAAGCAGCTCCTATTGGTCCATAAGAAGCAGCTCCTATTGGTCCATAAGAAGCAGCTCTTACTGGTCAATACGAGGCAGCTCCTATTGGTCCATACGAGGTAGCTCTTAAGAACATAAGAACATAAGAACAAAGGTAACTGCAGAAGGCCTATTGGCCCATACGAGGCAGCTCCTATTCTATAACCACCCAATCCCACTCATATACTTGTCCAACCCGTGCTTGAAACAATCGAGGGACCCCACCTCCACAATGTTACGCGGCAATTGGTTCCACAAATCAACAACCCTGTTACTGAACCAGTATTTACCCAAGTCTTTCCTAAATCTAAACTTATCCAATTTATATCCATTGTTTCGTGTTCTGTCCTGTGTTGATACTTTTAATACCCTATTAATATCCCCCCGGTTATGTCCATTCATCCACTTGTAAACCTCTATCATGTCACCCCTAACTCTTCGCCTTTCCAGTGAATGCAACTTAAGCTTTGTTAATCTTTCTTCATATGAAAGATTTCTAATTTGGGGAATTAACTTAGTCATCCTACGCTGGACACGTTCAAGTGAATTTATATCCATTCTATAATATGGCGACCAAAACTGAACTGCATAATCTAAATGGGGCCTAACTAGAGCAAGATATAGCTTGAGAACCACACCAGGTGTCTTGTTACTAACGCTGCGATTAATAAATCCAAGTGTCCGATTTGCCTTATTACGAACATTTATGCATTGATCCTTTTGTTTTAAATTCTTACTAATCATAACTCCCAGATCCCTTTCGCAATCCGACTTCGCAATCACAACACCATCTAGCTCGTATCTTGTAACTCTATCATCATTACCTAACCTCAGAACTTTACATTTATCAGCATTAAACTGCATCTGCCAATCCTTTGACCATTTCAAAACCCTATCTAGATCAACTTGAAGTGATAGTGAGTCCTCCTCCGAATTAATTTCCCTACCGATTTTCGTATCATCGGCAAATTTGCAAATGTTGCTACTCAAACCTGAATCTAAATCATTTATATATATTATAAACAACAGAGGTCCCAGGACAGAGCCTTGAGGCTCTGGTCAATACGAGGCAGCTCCTATTGGTCCATAAGAAGCAGCTCCTATTGGTCCATAAGAAGCAGCTCCTATTGGTCCATAAGAAGCAGCTCCTATTGGTCCATAAGAAGCAGCTCCTATTGGTCCATAAGAAGCAGCTCTTACTGGTCAATACGAGGCAGCTCCCATTGGTCCATACGGGGCCGGCCTCTCGAAGTGTTCAAAAGAGAACTTGACAAAGACCTTCAAATGATACCTGCTCGACCAGGCTGTGAATCATACATCAGGCTGCGAGCAGCAGCATCAAACAGCCTGGTTGACCAGGTCACCAACCAGGAGGCCTAGTCCGAGAACGGGCCGCAGGGACTTTGAATCATCGACAGGTATAACTTACGTTTGAAACAATCTAGTGATCTCGTCAATTATATTACCTGATAACTTGCTCCACACATCAAACAACGCTGTTTACAAGCCAGTATTTACCCAGGGTTTTCCTGAATCTTACCTTCACCAATTTATTGAAGAACAAATGGAATAATTTGAGAAACAATTTACGAGTAATTGTACTTACTTCTGAGCATATGTACTTGAGGACGGTCATCTCGTACTTGCTGGCCAGATGACTGACCTCCAAGGCCATGGGCGTAGTAGGAAAGTGTACTCTGTCAGAGTACATGTACTCCATCAACCACTGGAAGGCCTCCACGGAGTCCGTCAGAGTAAGCTCCGTCCCCACAGCTTTGTGGCCATAGAGCTCAGCCTCAAACACAGGCGAACTCATGGCAAGAATCAGCCGGTGAGCCTGGTGAGAAAACTCCCTCTTAATAATACTTTTTGCTGTTTCATCAATTTATTTATTTATTTATTTATTTATTTATTTATTTATTTATTTATTTATTTATATACAAGAAGGTACATTGGGTTTGTGAGAATACATAGCATAGTATTTAGTCTTGTAAAGCCACTAGTACGCGCAGCGTTTCGGGCAGGTCCTTAATCTAACAGATAATTTTAATTAGGTAAATTCTAGCAGAATTAATAAAATGATAACAGATATATTGAAAGAAAAAAATGAGATGAGAGAGATTAGTAAGTATATTAAAGCACATTGGTATATTAAAGCTCTGATTGAATACATTGACAACTTGATTGGTAATTTAAACAAGATTAATAGACACCATACAGCAGATTGACAGCACATATAAGAAGACAGCAATGATCACAATTGAAAATTTTATGAATCAAATAATAGTCGGGTCACAGCAGAGAGGTCCCGGGTTTAATTCCCGAAGCAAGACAAAAGTGATTGTTTAACGATTCCTTTCACCTGATGCCTCAGTTCACTTAGCAGTTAATAGGTAGCCTTATAGGATATGCGCCCAACCATTTCTGCCTCCGCACGGGATTCGAACCCGAAATTCTCGACTGTGAGTCGAGTACGAACCCGACTGTACTACCGGGAGCCTCAAATGGTGTACCCACCAGTGTTTAGGTCATGGTGGAAGTAAACTTTTGGCTGTGGTTTACCTCTGATTATAGTTTACTTCTGGTGTTTGTGAGTGAACTCTCGTGGATGTTTGTGAGTGAACTCTCGTGGATGTTTGTGAGTAAACTCTCATGGATGTTTGTGAGTGAACTCTCGTGGATGTTTGTGAGTGAACTCTCATGGATGTTTGTGAGTGATTGTGAGTCAACACAGGATGTTGTGAGTCAACACAGGATGTTGTGAGTCAACACAGGATGTTGTGAGTCAACACAGGATGTTGTGAGTCAACAAAGGATGAGTGTGAGTCACACTCATCCTTCGTTAATCAATACGGAATGTTTAACGACAGGTTGACCTTCCAAAACTGCTGTGAGAACTGATGCTGCTGCCCACTGCATAATGCTCAAGAATCAGGTTTTGTAAATGTGTTTGCAAAATATATTAGACGCCCACTGGTAGGCTTTCCTTGTGTTGCCCACAAGGAGGCAAAAGCTGGTCTTAGGAACTTCAAGTGATGAAAACTGTAAGCAAAATAGTTCCTTATATTTATTCGCGGGCTGACAACTTCAGAGTTGACTGAGGGAAGAGTTGAGTGAACACAAGACTACTCATGTACAACAATATTCGTTGACGCAGTACACGATTTGTTGAGTGCATGAAATTAGTTTGTTTTTGATGAATGAAAAGTTTTCTAACCAATAATTATGTGACGTTGTATGGATTTGTAGAGTGATGTTTTCACAAATTTCTCTTCACATTTAAATGACTTGATCACCAATTTACAGGGATCTGGTAAAAGACTTTTATGTTATGTTTGATAGCATAAAAGCCTTTAAAGTCAAACTTAACAATTTTAAACGTGATATCGACAATGCCACTTTATAAATACTTCTCAAACCTAAATATAAAAAAATGAGATTTTGAAATTCATGAGAAAACAGATATTCAGAACTTCAAATGTAAATTTCGAGTATCAATGATTTAATCAATTTTGTTTCAGATTCACAAAATTCATATCATTTGAAGAAACAATAAAATTCAGTTGCGCAGTGAAACATTAGACATTTTATGTTATTTTATTTATATATGCAAGAGTTCTTTCACTCTCGTAAAGCCACTTGCACGCATAGCGTTTTTTTTTTTTTTTTTTTTTTTTAGATATATAGAAGAGTTGTTACATTCTTGTAGAGCCACTAGTACGCGTAGCGTTTAGGGCAGGTCCCTGGAATACGATCCCCGCCGCGAAGAATCGTTGTTACAACCAAGTACACATTTTACTGTTGACTTAAACAGAGGCTACAGTTAAGGATTTGCGCCCAGTAAATCCTCCCCGGCCAGGATACGAACCCATGACATAGCGCCCGCGGAACGCCAGGCGAGTGTCTTACCACTACACCACGGAGACTGGTAAATATACAAAAAAATATGACAGATTTTGAAATCCCAATCCTCCCTGGAATACGACCCGCCAAATGGTTTAACAACCAGGTACCCATTCACTGCTGGGTCAACAGAGGCTACAGATAATGAATGGTGCCTAGTCAATCCTCCCCGGCCAGGATACCAACCCAGGCCAAAGTGCTCGCTAAGCGCCGGGCGAGGATCTTACCGCTGCGCCACGAGGGAATTTTGAAATGTTGCAGTAGATTTATTTGGATAATGTGTAAATGCATTTGATTTACAAAGCAGCTTCAGTTGGAGACAAATTTGACGACTTTAAGAGTTGAACTGAAAATATTGAAAGTTAGTGACAGGATTAACGAAGAAAATAGCAGAAAATGAGGCGTTGACACTCAGGAATTACATTACTGAAACTTGTGACTGGCTGAAACATCCCACAATGGTAGTACAGTATTAACAGTATTATCATAGACTTATTTATGCAAATCATTATTTTCAGTGAAGAGCTTTGTCAAGTCATCATCAGGGCAAGTTGATCAAGTTTATCATCTAGGCAAATATGGGGACCTTTGACAAGCCGCTGGCTTCCTGTCCTCGTCGAGGCCACTATGTTGGTGGCCCTCAGGTAAATTCAGGTAAAGGGAAGAAAGTTTAAGTACGTTTATTGAGACAATAAAGTACATCTCAAAGGGATAGAGTAGCTTAGGCTGTCTTAGGCTACCCCCCCCCCCCCACCCACTACTTCAAGTCCCTCAAGAGACGCACAAATCCAGTGAGTACAAATCCACAAATCACAATACAAGAATCACATTTAACATTGCAGGTTAATACAGTAAGCACCGCATATAAGTGTTACACTCTTGGGGCAAAGTGCTTGTAGCTGTCAGGAGAACTTACTGATGAAACTAGTCTGAGAGCACACACAACTCTCTGACCAACCACACACAAGCCTCATATTTCACCCCGTCCGCCTAAGGTTTCCCAATGTCTGATTGATTGATTGATGAAGATTAAGCCACCCAAAAGGTGGCACGGGCATGAAAAGCTCGTAAGTGTTGGCCCTTTTGAGCCATTACCAGTATCAAGAGCTGGTACTGGAGATCTGTGGAGGTGCGACTGCACCCTGCGTGACGGGAGATGTCTCCCGTGTCCCAACAACCCGTCCACTTAAAAATAACGTCACTTTTCGCTTGTATGCGCACTATGGCCAAATTTGGACGTAATTTGAAATGAAATCGACTCACAAAAGTGACGTACTGTTCCGTTTTCTGTTTGAGTCGTCCGGCCTACTGTAAGGTTAGAATAGATGACTTTCAATTAACGTTTTTCATAACGTTTTGAAACTTTATGAGAATTTTCTGCCCACGTAACCTATCAGAGGACCCTTAACTTACTGTTGTTAAAAAAAAATCCCAAATTTATTTTCATTTTCAAATTACGTCCAAATTCGGCCTTACGGACAAACGGCCAAAAGCGACGTTCTTTTTAAGAGGACAGGTTGACAATGTCAAGAAAACTGTCAATATAAAGTGTCCTCTCCTAACCTAACAGACTAAGCCAGAGGACCCAAAACAGAAAACGGGACAGTCCGTCACTTTCGCGAGCCGCTTCCATCTTGTAGTACGACAGTTTTTGGCCTTATGTGACGCCTACGAGAGAAAAGCGACGTTTCTTCGTAAGAGAACAGGTTGGATAATTATGTGACCATTGGTGCGGGCAACAAGTCTCACCCAGAGAAAAATATCCTTATTTTCCAATTAAATTTTATATATACATAATTTGAACCCAGACTTATTATTTTCACGTTCACGTTTCTAGTTGTTTATACAGATAAAGATTATACAAATATATAATTGTTGATAGGCTTTCTCAAATGCTTTTATTTATTCCAATATCTCATTTATATTTGTGTTAATTGTAAACAACATATTTACACGTAAATACGCAAAAACTTATTTTGCCTTAAAAAAAAAGTTCATTAATAGTGTTACTAATTTATTAATTTTCCATCTTGGGAATTATTAGTTATTAATAACATATGATTCCTAAAGCTTTACCATATAAAGAAAACATTGAGAGGCGTTACTGGTTGTCTAAACACATTATTTTATGAATGTTTTCAAGCATTTTGTTACTGTTCTTCATAAACAAATGGTAAAATATAGATATAACATATATCAATAATAATAATAATAATACTAATAATAATAATAATAATAATAATTATAATAATAATAATATTATGAGGCTCGACATTCCTATTGACAGGCGAGAATTTTTTTTTAACATTATTGACAATTTCGGCGCACTCTAAACAAAACAAAAATCGACACTTTCGGCCTACTGTAGGCCACAAGTAGGCCTACTGTAGGCCACAAGTAGGCCTACTGTAGGCCACAAGTAGGCCTACTGTAGGCCACAAGTAGGCCTACTGTAGGCCAAAAGTAGGCCTACTGTAGGCCTACCTAGCATCAAATAGGCACCCGGGAGTTAGGCAACTGTTGTGGGTTGCATCCTGGGGTGGGGAGGGACTTGGATACCTAGAGGTTACCTTGAGGTGCTTCCGGGGCTTAGCGTGCCCGCGGCCCGGTCGTCGACCAGGCCTCCTGGTTGCTGGACTAATCATACTGAACTTGGATAACGGGAATGATCTCAACACTCACCTGGATGGTCTCCTTACGGCCGGAGAAGCGGATGGTAAGGTCCGAACATTTGCCTGTCATATACAGCGACTTGATACGTTCAATCACGTTAATTGGTTCCTTAACGGGTGTCCGCTGACTGAAGTACTGAGTGCGGGGCGCCTCACTGCCCATCATCCTGGAACATTATAAACGTTAACTGGTATTTATTAATAACCCGGGGGGGGGGGGGAAGGGGGGACCAACTGCTTGCATTTGTAGGAACAGTCAATATGGTCACAGTTCTTGAAGGTCAGCGTTTGATACCCAGCGGTGTCCTAGGGGGCCGTTCCTTCCCTCCGTCCTCATATCCCAATGAGGGAGTCCTCCTCCTCATATCCCAGCTCCTCGTCCTCATATCCAAGCTCCATCTGTTCATTTACCTGCTCCTCGTTATCCCAGTTCATCGTCCTCATATCCCAGCTCCTCGTCTACATATCCCAGTTTCTTGTACTCATATCCCAGCTCCTGGCCCTCATACAGCCCATCCTTCCATCCAGGTAGTACTTATAGTAACGATGAAGACCATTGTACATATATTGACGTAAAAGGTAATTTAAAAATATAATTCGGTACCACTGAATTGGGACAAACCGTAAAAGTTTTTCTACTGGTGTTGCTTTGAGAAACTAAACTAACCTAACCTTCCTCAGCCTAATACACGCCATCTGAGGCCTAATATAGTACATATATGTGTTATATTAGGCCTAGGAATATCTAAGTTTTCTTTTAGCTTTATTTTTATTCTGACTAAAGTAAATAGTACCAAGTTCTACTATCTAATTGTCCATTACTTCTATGTGCACAGTTACCAACCCATTAAGATTTCAACTTAGATTCAACAGAGCAGAAGTTGTTAAACACATGGGACAAAATCTTACTGAAGCGACCATACGAGTCATAAATACTCATACTCCGCCCAAGTAAAACAGAAACAAGCAACACTTAGTGGGCCAGCCAGAGGCTTAGGGGCCCGCCCAGTGGGCCAGCCAGAGGCTTAGGGGCCCGCCCAGTGTGCCAGCCAGAGGCTTAAGGCCCCGCCCAGTGGGCCAGCCAGAGGCTTAGGGCCCGCCCAGTGGGCCAGTCAGAGGCTTAGGGCCCGCACGGTGGGCCAGCCAAAGGCTTAGGGCCCGCCCAGTGGGCCAGCCAGAAGCTTAGGGCCCGCCCAATGGGCCAGCCAGAGGCTTAGGGCCCGCCCAGTGGGCCAGCCAGAGGCTTAGGGCCCGCCCAGTGGGCTAGCCAGAGGCTTAGGGCCCGCCCAGTGGGCCAGCCAGAGGCTTAGGGGCCCGCCCAGTGGGCTAGCCAGAGGCTTAGGGCCCGAGCTGGAATATCCCTGCAAAAAACAAATCATGCAGCCCGCTGCATGTGCTAGTCATAATTGTATATTAACACGCCATCCTACACATGAAAATGAAGTGATATAGTATTAAGCATCATCCCAATCAATTTTAAGGGGGCCGTAAACGCGATTTAAAATTTTGTTTAATTTCAAACAAACTTTTTTTTACTAGTTGTATATAAGAAGGACTGCAACTGTTCTACGTTTCTGTATCACATTCCAAGTAGAGAGGAAGATATGTTTTTTTTGTTTTTGTTTTTCAATGAATTTTACACATTTTCAATATCCTACAACTACCACAATATTCAAATGACATCATTTCTATGACACTCATATATCATATTAGCATATAATAAAGGATTTGGCCAAGCGGATTATCCAAAATATGTTAACTTTTACTAATACAAGTAGTCAAAGTTCCCTAAAAAATACATGCCAATATTTCATGTTTACAAATATTTATAAAAATCAATAAATGAACTTTGGAATAAAGTGTTTTGGCCATTTTATAGACGTCAACTCTACACATAAAGTGTAAATGTCATGTAAATTGAAAACAATGAAAGAGGAGATGCAATTTTATGTTACTTGAAAATAAATAAGATCAAACACTGCCACCTGTGGCTGAAGATGACATAAACTAATTTCCTCCAAAATTGGCATCTTGACAGATAGGCTCACGGTCTGTAAGGTGTATAAGTTTCATGCAAATCGACTGATAAAAAGTATGAAAAAAAAAATTGAGAAAAAAATCTAATTTTTTGTTTTTTGTTTGAATTTTTTGGGGGGCATAAAAGTATATATTAAAATACTTTATTATATGCTATTGTGATAGCTTAGAGTCATAGACATAATTTCAGTTGACACTTTTGTTTGATGTTAATTTTTGACCATTTTGGAAAATTTTTGATACATAATTCAATATTTTTGTTCACCCTTCCTATTTATGCTACGATGCTGAGACTTGGACCAGTTAAACCAAATTTATTTTATATACAACTAGTCAAAAAAGTTTGACTGAAATCGAACCAGTTTTCATTTTTCTGAAATATGCCGCTTAATTAATTAAATATCAATTCGCATATTATTTTATGTTATGTACGAAACGCCTCGCGTAGTCTTCTTAAATTACACAAATACTGTATTTACTATGTAACCAATGAAATATGTTCCTTTCCACATATAAATAAATTATTTATATTATCATTATTACTGAGGTTGACAAGATTGCAATGGCTCATTTCCTTACCAGAAGGAATCTTTTTATTTTCTCCCAAAAATACTATTGCACTAGATTTACACAGTAGACGCTGTAACTGCATCTTCCATGACCGCTCACGTTGGTGTGAGCACAAAGTAGCAAATAGGTGTGTGTGTGATATTAATCCTCAGTCAACCAATGCTAGTCCAATACTAGTTCAAAATTATGCTAGCAAAATCCTCAGTAACAATGGGATTGGGGGTGGATGTGGACCCCCCCCCCTCCCCTGACAAGTCACAGTCTTCCTGTCCCCATCAAGGCCCCTAGAAATCGTGGTGGCCCTGAGGCTTCTTGTCCCCGTGTCTCAGTGGACGATAACTTCCAACTGGCTACTTTGTAACCCTCTTAAGTGTCCCCAATCTGGCCCATTCCTCAGTCGCCCAGTAAACTTGCTCCGGGTCTGTTCTCTAAGATTCCTGTCATCAATAGGCTACGTTTATCAGTTATATTTGTACACTACAGTATTGCCCAAATATGTAATCTATCGCAGGCTAAATTCATGTCATAATATGAGCATATTGGTGGTCTGGTCGGGAGAGTGGCCCCTTTAGGGAGTCAGCACATTAACAGTTATAGATAATAACACTATAGAGAGAACATAACAAAATAAGATGCTTAGGCTTATACAAATTGAAATGTAGAGGTGATGGATTTATCCATATAAATGTGTCAGCGTTAATAACTATGTATAACCTCATGGCACCAGGAACTAACCAACATGTATAACCTCATGGCACCAGGAACTAACCAACATAACATCATGGCACCAGGAACTAACCAACATGTATAACCTCATGGCACCAGGAACTAACCAACATGTATAACCTCATGGCACCAGGAACTAACCAACATGTATAACCTCATGGCACCAGGAACTAACCAACATAGCCTCATGGCACCAGGAACTAACCAACATAGCCTCATGGCACCAGGAACTAACCAACATAGCCTCATGGCTCCAGGAACTAACCAACATAGCCTCATGGCACCAGGAACTAACCAACATAGCCTCATGGCACCAGGAACTAACCAACATAGCCTCATGGCACCAGGAACTAACCAACATAGCCTCATGGCACCAGGAACTAACCAACATAGCCTCATGGCACCAGGAACTAACCAACATAACCTCATGGCACCAGGAACTAACCAACATAGCCTCATGGCACCAGGAACTAACCAACATAACCTCATGGCACCAGGAACTAACCAACATAGCCTCATGGCACCAGGAACTAACCAACATAGCCTCATGGCACCAGGAACTAACCAACATAGCCTCATGGCACCAGGAACTAACCAACATAACCTCATGGCACCAGGAACTAACCAACATAACCTCATGGCACCAGGAACTAACCAACATAGCCTCATGGCACCAGGAACTAACCAACATAGCCTCATGGCACCAGGAACTAACCAACATAGCCTCATGGCACCAGGAACTAACCAACATAGCCTCATGGCACCAGGAACTAACCAACATAGCCTCATGGCACCAGGAACTAACCAACATAACCTCATAACAGCTAAGACCCCTTTACTTAACCCATATTATTAAGGAATATATTGTTCATCTCGTCAGTTATTAAGACAACTGAAGGTCTTGAGAGTTAAGAGCGACGCTGTAACTCACTTCCGGCGACACGTCTCAAGAGTCAAGAGAGAAATGGGAGCTGCGCAGCGCCGCACGTCCGTCCCCGTCGGTGTCTCGTGGGCAACTGGCGCCATGTTGTCTTGTGGCACTACACCTTCTCTATTGTTATTTATTATTATTATTATTATTATTATTATTATTATTATTATTATTATTATTATTATTATTATTATTATTATTATTATTGTAGCGCATTATTATTGTTATTATTATTATTATAGTTTAGTTCATTTATTATGCACCCCATACCCATCGTGTGGGCGGTAGTGGAAAGGGTTACAGAGGCACATAATGGGCTCAGGGACTGATCATTTTGTCCCACAATTCCTTCAGGAACTTCAATGCACATTTTCCCCACGAACCGATCGGAACAAAGCTGTAGCAGTGTGCCAGACCTCTGTATTTGATAATTTTCTGCAATTCCCCAGGGCTGCATTAGCACAGAAAAAATATATATATATATATATATATATATATATATATATATATATATATATATATATATATATATATATATATATATATATATATATATATATATATATATATATATATATATATATATGCGAACAAGCCTGAATGGTCCCCAGGACATATGCAACTGAAAACTCACACCCCAGAAGTGACTCGAACCCATACTCCCAGAAGCAACGCAACTGGTATGTACAAGACGCCTTAATCCACTTGACCATCACGACCGGACAAAATGAGGTGATAGCCGAGGCTATATGAACCACCCCACCGCCGGCACTCGGATAGTTATCTTGGGCATAGCATTTTACCAAATCACCTCATTCTTTGGGGCAACACGTGAGGAACACAAATGCGAACAAGCCTGAATGGTCCCCAGGACATATGCAACTGAAAACTCACACCCCAGAAGTGACTCGAACCCATACTCCCAGAAGCAACGCAACTGGTATGTACAAGACGCCTTAATCCACTTGACCATCACGACCGGACAAAATGAGGTGATAGCCGAGGCTATATGAACCACCCCACCGCCGGCACTCGGATAGTTATCTAGGGCATAGCATTTTACCAAATCACCTCATTCTTTGGGGCAACACGTGAGGAACACAAATGCGAACAAGCCTGAATGGTCCCCAGGACATATGCAACTGAAAACTCACACCCCAGAAGTGACTCGAACCCATACTCCCAGAAGCAACGCAACTGGTATGTACAAGACGCCTTAATCCACTTGACCATCACGACCGGACACGTGAGGAACACAAATGCGAATGAGGTGATTTGGTAAAATGCTATGCCCAAGATAACTATCCGAGTGCCGGCGGTGGGGTGGTTCATATAGCCTCGGCTATCACCTCATTTTGTCCGGTCGTGATGGTCAAGTGGATTAAGGCGTCTTGTACATACCAGTTGCGTTGCTTCTGGGAGTATGGGTTCGAGTCACTTCTGGGGTGTGAGTTTTCAGTTGCATATGTCCTGGGGACCATTCAGGCTTGTTCGCATTTGTGTTCCTCACGTGTTGCCCCAAAGAATGAGGTGATTTGGTAAAATGCTATGCCCAAGATAACTATCCGAGTGCCGGCGGTGGGGTGGTTCATATAGCCTCGGCTATCACCTCATTTTGTCCGGTCGTGATGGTCAAGTGGATTAAGGCGTCTTGTACATACCAGTTGCGTTGCTTCTGGGAGTATGGGTTCGAGTCACTTCTGGGGTGTGAGTTTTCAGTTGCATATGTCCTGGGGACCATTCAGGCTTGTTCGCATTTGTGTTCCTCACGTGTTGCCCCAAAGAATGAGGTGATTTGGTAAAATGCTATGCCCAAGATAACTATCCGAGTGCCGGCGGTGGGGTGGTTCATATAGCCTCGGCTATCACCTCATTTTGTCCGGTCGTGATGGTCAAGTGGATTAAGGCGTCTTGTACATACCAGTTGCGTTGCTTCTGGGAGTATGGGTTCGAGTCACTTCTGGGGTGTGAGTTTTCAGTTGCATATGTCCTGGGGACCATTCAGGCTTGTTCGCATTTGTGTTCCTCACGTGTTGCCCCAAAGAATGAGGTGATTTGGTAAAATGCTATGCCCAAGATAACTATCCGAGTGCCGGCGGTGGGGTGGTTCATATAGCCTCGGCTATCACCTCATTTTGTCCGGTCGTGATGGTCAAGTGGATTAAGGCGTCTTGTACATACCAGTTGCGTTGCTTCTGGGAGTATGGGTTCGAGTCACTTCTGGGGTGTGAGTTTTCAGTTGCATATGTCCTGGGGACCATTCAGGCTTGTTCGCATTTGTGTTCCTCACGTGTTGCCCCAAAGAATGAGGTGATTTGGTAAAATGCTATGCCCAAGATAACTATCCGAGTGCCGGCGGTGGGGTGGTTCATATAGCCTCGGCTATCACCTCATTTTGTCCGGTCGTGATGGTCAAGTGGATTAAGGCGTCTTGTACATACCAGTTGCGTTGCTTCTGGGAGTATGGGTTCGAGTCACTTCTGGGGTGTGAGTTTTCAGTTATATATATATATATATATATATTATTAAATATGACCGAAAAAGTAAGATTAATCATTCTAACACGAATTTTTTCAATCTTTCGTACATTTCTTTTCACTGTTGGAGGTAATTCAAAAATCAATTCTCCAAAATTCATTTTTATTTCTAGTCTGACGCGACACGAGCGCGTTTCGTAAAACTTATTACATTTTCAAAGACTTTAGTTTACAAATACACAACTGAATAGAACTTACCATAGAATAGTAAGTTCTATTCAGTTGTGTATTTGTAAACTAAAGTCTTTGAAAATGTAATAAGTTTTACGAAACGCGCTCGTGTCGCGTCAGACTAGAAATAAAAATGAATTTTGGAGAATTGATTTTTGAATTACCTCCAACAGTGAAAAGAAATGTACGAAAGATTGAAAAAATTCGTGTTAGAATGATTAATCTTACTTTTTCGGTCATATTTAATAATATATGTCTACAGGAAAGACTGCTACCAAAATATACTAATATATATATATATATATCTATATATATATATATATATATATATATATATATATATATATATATATATATATATATTTTATTAAATATGACCGAAAAAGTAAGATTAATAATTCTAACACGAATTTTCTCAATCTTTCGTACATTATGCTTCACTGTTGGAGGTAAATCAAAAATCACTTCTCCAAAATTCATTTTTATTTCTATTTTATTTATTTTTTATTTCTATTTATATTAGAAATAAAAATGAATTTTGGAGAAGTGATTTTTGATTTACCTCCAACAGTGAAGCATAATGTACGAAAGATTGAGAAAATTCGTGTTAGAATTATTAATCTTACTTTTTCGGTCATATTTAATAAAATATGTCTACAGGAAAGACTGCTACCAAAATATATATATATATATATATATATATATATATATGAAGTTCCTGAAGGAATTGTGGGACAAAATATATATATATATATATATATATATATATATATATATATATATATATATATATATATATATATATATATATATATATATATATATATGTTATATGTCAAATAACCTTGATGCACCTGATACCATCAAAGCCTGGCACAATCTGTTACTTTTTGGCAACGCATGCTTAGGTGTACTAGACAGAGGAGGCAAGTCACTGGCCTCATCCTTCAATAAAGCAATTTGGGATTTTCCTAGGGCTGACAACCTAGTCCGCCTCCCCAAACACACCAAACACCGCCGAGGCAGACCAAGTACGACAATCAGCGACAACAGAAAATTAGGTACCCAAGTCAGCAAGAAAATTGAAGAGGGCAATACAGTCGGTGCACTGAGGTTGATCACAAGTGAGGACAAAATTTTGCCCAGGGATGAAACCACAGCCCAAGCACTGAGAGAAAAACACCCCGTCAGGGCCGTAGGTGAACCTCCCCCACAGGTCAGGCTCGCCCCTAACCAGGAACCTCTCGTCCTCCGGGAGTCAGAGGTTTATAAAGCTATCGTTTCATTTCCCCCGGGCTCCTCAGGAGGCTACACACGGGTAAAACCTCAACATGTGAAGGAAATCGTGAACCCTGTTCTTGGCCCAGCTGCAGAAGCGCTCCAGGCAGAAATCACAACGTTTGTCAACAACTGCCTCGCCGGGTTAATCCCTGATGAAATCAAACCATTCTTCTTTGGTGCATCCCTATGTGCCCTGAAAAAGAAGGGGGGAGGAATCAGACCCATTGCCGTTGGTAATACCCTTCGCCGCCTAGTTGCAAGGGCTGCTGTCAGAAGTATCCGAATGGAAGCAGCCACCATGCTGCAACCCAACCAGCTGGGGTTTGGAGTCCCCCAAGGCTGTGAAGCAGCGGCTCATGCTGCACGAGCCTACATTAGCTCTCTTACTGAAGACCAGGCAGTAGTAAAATTAGATTTTAAAAACGCTTTCAACTCGGTCAAAAGGGAAGCAATCCTCACTGCAGTCCAGGAACATTGCCCAAGCATTCTCCCGTTTGTGTCAGCAGGCTACAGCAAAGACTCAACCCTCCTGTTTGGCAAACATGAAGTCACCTCAGCAGAGGGAATTCAACAGGGAGACCCACTTGCACCGTTCCTCTTTTGCATAGCGGTTCGAGAAATTACAATCAGACTGTCCAGCGAGCTCACATATGGTTCCTGGATGATGGCACTCTGGCAGGCACACAAGATTCCCTGCTGGAAGACCTACAGCTGGTGAAGACACGGGGGGAGTCCATGGGTCTCGTTCTTAACCCCTCCAAGTGCGAAATTATTGCATCCAGTGAAGTAATTATAAGAGCAGTGAAATCAGTTTTACCAGAAGCCTCAGTCGTTAAACCTACCGACAGCACACTACTCGGAGCACCTCTGGGCCACAATGCCATTGCTGCAGTCCTTGACGAAAAGTTTAGAGACCTAAAGAGGATGGAAGAGAGAAATGGGGACTTGGACTCCCACGATGCCCTCTACCTTCTCACAAAGTGCCTACCTTGCCCAGGCTAACATACTTCTTAAGGTGTGCACCAACTTTTGGCAACCCACTTCTACATCAATATGATGAGCTCCTCAGGTCAATATTCAGGAAGGCGCTCAACCTAGATTTAGAT